ATCCCTGGTCTTCCTGCGCCCACCCTGCCGAAGCTGCACCAGCTACATGTAGGCTGGCACCTGGGGATTCAGCTCACTTTACCTTCAGCCCTTCTCTCAGGGCGAGGCCCTGGCCTTAGAGCACAGTCAGTCTGATGTACCTGGTTAAGACTAGGTGCTTATCTCCCTGTGGAAATTGATTGTTCATCCTCTTAGCTCCTGGGGTGATAGCTTCACTGTCTTCTTTAATGTCTTCCGCTAAAGCCAGGAAATGCCTTATATGAAGGATTTCATTCTCTGGGTCTTACCTTTCAGAGAAAATAACTCTTAAAGTATTTATCCCAGAGAAAGAGATACCTGTTGGGGCCTTGAAAATAGTACAGGATTTCTCATAGTCCTAGGGGCCTTGATGGGGGGTATATAAAATCAATACAACTTTTCACTAGGGCAGTTTGAACAATTATATCAAAATCTAAAATATGCACACCCTTTGATCCAGAAACCCCACTTCTGTCATTAATTTATCTTGAAAAAAATTATTATAGCATTGTTTGTAATAATCAAAAATATTCATCTTCAGGGGAATGGTTAAATAAGTTGCAGTTGTTGCACTGAGTAGAATAGAGTGCAGTCATTAAGAGTAGGGTACAGAGGATAAGAGTTGTACATGATGTGTTTTTATATCACAAGAGTAACAAAATAACCTATAAAATGTTTCTTAGAGTACTTAAATTTTAAAACGGGTACATGTGTGGGTGTATGTAAGAGTTGAAGTTGGGTAAGTAAATTAGAAATAGAGTAGGATTAGGCAAGATGTAACTGCCACTTCACTTCCTTTGTTCCCCATGGCCTCCCCTGGCATAATTCATCCTTCCTTGACTTTCCTGGCTAAAATAACATGCTAACCTGTTGTAACCAAGTCACGAGCAAAAGGTCAAATTCTGAGTCCTTTGATAGCCAGCGGTTTAGAGGGGGCATGCACCACCAAAATCTCTCCACCCGGAGTAAAACTTTCAGAGGTTTTTTGTAGGCAAACTGAGGAATTACAGAGATAGAACATCTGGTTTGGGGTTAGGCAAGGGTAGGCAGTGGCACAACTCAGATAAGGGAGATCACTGGGAGGGTACAGGGCTACGGGAGTCGATTACACGCAAATTTTAAAAATGTTGCATCAAGCCGGGCTCGATGGCTCGGCTTGTAATCCCGCGCCTTTGGGAGGCTGAGGTGAGTGGATTGCCTGAGCCCGCGGGTTCGAGACCCGCCTGGGCAGCGAGACCTCATCTCTACAATAAATCAAAAAGTCAGCCAGGCGTGGTAGTGCGCGCCTGTAGATCCGGCTACTCGGAAGGCTGAGGCAGAAGGATCGCCGGAGCCCAGCAGGTCGAGGCTGCGGTGGCCAGGAGCGTGCCACTGCCCTCCAGCCTGGGCAACAGAGTGAGACTCCAACTCAAAAAAAAAAAAAAAAAGTTGCATCAGCCACACGGGTTTAAGCAAACAAAATGGAGTTTTAACAGTTTTGAAACTAAAATCATTAATAATAAACCTCAAGCATTTTGAAAACTGCAAACACATCAAACACTTCAAACCACCCCATTTCCCCCCCTCTTTTCTCTTATTCCCTTCTCTCTTTCCTCTTTTCTTTTCCTTCCTTCCCACGCACAATCCCCTTACCATCAATGGCTGCCACTGGATTGGTACATCATTACGACTGATGAACCTGCATTGACGCCCAAAGTACCCGTATCACCGAAGTCCGTGAGGGCTCATGCTCGGTGGTGTGCATCCTCTGGGTTTGGACGAGTGTATGCAGAACATGTACCCACTCACATCTTCTGTGCTCTGCCTCTTTATCCATCCTTCCCTCCGGCCCCCAGCAGTCGCTGATTTTTTTCTTTTTTGAGTTGGAGTCTCACTCTTGTTGCCCAGGCTGCAGTGTAGTGGCACGCTCCTGGCCACCACAACCTCGACCTGCTGGGCTTAGGCAATCCCTCCGCCTCAGCCTTCTGAGTAGCTGGCACTACGGATGCACGCCACCATGCCCAGCTAGTCTTTGTTGTTTTGTTTTGTTTTGAGTTGGAGTCTCACTCTGTCACCCAGACTGGAGTGCGGGGGCCATTCCCGACCACCGCAGCCTCGACCTGCTGGGCTCCGGCCATCCTTCTGCCTCAGCCTTCTGAGTAGCCGGAATTACGGGCACGTGCTACCACGCCTGGCTGATTTTTTTGATTTATTGTAGAGATGAGGTCTCGCCAAGTCGCCCAGGCGGGTCTCGAACCTGCGGGCTCAGGCAATCCACTCACCTCAGCCTCCCAAAGCGCAGGATTACAGGCTGAGCCACTGAGCCCGGCTTAGTTTTTGTCATTTATTGTAGAGACGAAGTCTCACCAAGTTGTCCAGGCTGATCACGAATCTCCGGGCTCAGGCAATCCTCTCGCCTCAGCCTCCCAAATAGCTGGGATTACCGGCTGAACCCCACCGCACTTGGCCTGATGTTTCTACTGTCTCCTGTTTTGGAATTATACAGTACGCAACCTCTTCCGGTTGACTTCTTTCACTGAGTAATATGTATTTGAGGTCCTTCCATGTCTTCTCATGGCTTGATAGCTCATTTCTTTTTAGAGCTGAGTACTATTCCTTGTCTGGCTGTACCACAATCTACCATTCACCTACTACTGAAAGACATCTTGGTTGCTTTAAGTTTTGACAAGTATGAATACAGCTGCTGTAAACATTTGGGTACAGGTTTTAGCGTGAAAACCTAAGTTGTCAGTTCCTCTGGGTAAATACAAAGGAGCACAGTTGCTAAAGTGTATGATGAGAAGAGGTTTAGTTTCAGAAGAATCTGCCAAACCACCCTCCAAAATGGCTTTGATTCTCATCAGCCCCTCGGGAGAGTTCTGTCACCCATGTCTTCGCCAGCATTTCGTGTTGTCCGTGTCCTGGGTTTTGGCCACTGTGATAGGTGTGTACGGTGTCTTGTTGTCATTTTAACTTGTGTTTCCTTGGTGATCTATGATGTGGAGTACCTTTTCATATTCCCATTTGCCATCTGCATCTCTTTTTGGTGAGTCCAATTTCTATTTTTAATTTTAATTTAATAGGCACTGGCCAGGCTCAGTGGCTCAGCCTATAATCCCAGCGCTTTGGGAGGCTGAGGCAAGTAGATTGCTTGAGCCCACAGGTTTGAGACCAACCTGGGCAACTTGGCAAGACCTCTTCTCTACAATTAAAAAAAAAATTAGCTAGGCGTGGTAATGTGCACCTGTAGTTCCAGCTACTCGGAAGGCTAAGGCAGAAGGATCACTGGAGCCCAGTGGGTCGACGCTGAGGTGGCTGTGAGCATGCCACTGCACTCCAGCCTGGGCGGTAGAGTGTGACTCCAACTCCAAAAATAATAATAATAATAATAATAATAAGTTGAATAGGCATTCCCTAAATTGCCATATACTATCTTTCAAAAGGACTTTTTCAACTAAAATATTTATAATTCAGAATTAATTTTTCCAAAAACCAGTGTTGTACATAATAATGAACTCTCATACTAGTCAACAAAATTCTGCTTAACGAAAAAATTATCCTGTAGACGTCAAGACTAGTTATTTAACAAACTAAACCAAAACGAAGACTATCAGTACTTTCTTAAATGCTGGCATTTGCAGGAATACACTCATTCATAGTGAGTGCCCACTGAACCTGGTCCTGTTGGTGTCTTTCTCTTCAAAAGAAATCTTTATTTTTTTCCCTGGAAAAATGCCATCCCCGTTTGTGGCCAAGTGAGAGTGGGGTTTGGAGGGTAAACTGTGGAAGGGTTCACCACGAGACCCCGCACAATTACTGAGTTCTTGGAGCTGCGGCTGTGGGTGGTGCAGCTGCAGGGCCCGCGGGCAGAGCGTGTCAGGGTTGCGTTGCCCGGACACCCTAGTGCAGCGTCAGCTCAGCCCCAATGCTGGGTGTGTCAGGCAGTGAATAATCCAGACCTCCCAAAGGTGGGTTGCTGTGGTGTGAAGCCAAGTGGCTTTCAGAAAGTGCTTAAAATATAAAAGGAGAGCTCTGATAGAAGGGGAAGGAAGGGGCCGAGGCACGTGGATTCTGGCCAGGAGTTGTCCCTGGAAGAGGATGTCCCTGGAAGAGGACAGGATCGAGCATTTCCGACTATGTGTGGAGCCCTGTGATGGACGCAGTTTTTCCTCCACTTGTGGAATGGCTTTGTTTTGTCATCTGAGCACACCTGGTTTGGCTACATCGTGGGCCTGACAGGACATGACCAAGGCTTGGCTGTGTCTGGGCATGTGGCAAAGCCAAGACAAACTGCTCTGATCCCCCTGCAGTGAGTCAGGGACAGAGCAGAGTCCCAGGCACGTCCCTGCCCCCAGCCAGTCTCGCCCACTCTGGTGCCGTCACCACCCATTACATAAAGTTGGACCTGGCACGCGGCTCCCGCGTGAATGGGCCGTGAACCAAAGACTCAACCTCCCCTGCATCCAGAGGGCCAACTCCTGCAGCCTCTCTTTCCAAAGACAATGTTATTGAAAAGCTGCTCTCGCCACAAAGATACTTTCATCTTTGTGGTCACAGCCGTCAGAAGACTGATGAGGAGGCTTTTCTTTCTCTTCAAACATGGAGTGCTCCCAGTTTAGAGTGATTTTGTCTTTCTTTTTGATGGAATGGTGGTGACTCTCCCAAGTCACCAAAGTATCCCAAGAGCTTCACGCTACCTATGTAAGATGAAGTATCCCTGGAAAGAGAGAACTGCAAAATCTGTTCCCTTGCCAGTGTGAAACAGGAAGTAGCTTGAAAGGCAAGATGATGAAATAACGAGAGACCAGATTCTGTTTCTCTCCATCCATCCTGGGTTGAAGCAACATAGCTGTCAGAAAAAACGTGAAGCCTAAGCCACTCCAAAGATGGTCCTTGCCCTAAGAATGCAGATAACACTGAAAGTTTGCTTCAGGAAAACCCCAGCCGTTCAGCGAGAGCTGAGGCTTGATGTTTCTGCTCATGGGAAATTCTTTCTCCTGCAGATCTCTCCAAGGCCTTGGTTCTAACAGAAATTGGCCCCAAGCGCGATCCTGCCACTCTGAAATTGTTCCTGAGTAACATGGAGCGACTGCTCCACGCCAAGGCACATGGGTATGGATTTTCAGTTCTGGGCACACCTTGGGGCCAGAAGGAAAAGAAACACAAGCACACACTTGCTAAAAACTCCTCGGGGATTTGGGGAGGAAGGGGGGGCCGCACATAAGCCAGACTGGGGAAGCCATGCAGTATGTCCGTCCTCCAGTATAATGCTCTGTAGCCAGTCGTCAGGAAATGGATGGGGCCCTGTGTTCCTTCTGTCTGAGTTGTTGGGAATCCAGGTCACTGATCTCAAGCCAGTGAATCTCGCATATAGAGCAGGGGTCCCCAACTCCGGGTTGGAAACGGGGCCCACAGCAGTAGGCCAGCGGTGGGGGTCAGATCAGCAGCGGCATTAGATTCATCTGTCGTGAAACGTGCATGCGTGGGATCTGCTTTGCTCTCCTTTTGAAAACCTAATGTCTGTCCCCGCTCCTCCATCGTCCCTCTGTGGAAAAACTGTCGTCCACGAAACCGGTCCCTGATGCCAAAAAGGTTGGGGACTGCTGGTGTGGAGTCCTTCCTCGGTGGACTTGGCTTCAGGCAGACTCACTCTGGTTTCTTTTTCCTAAGTGTTTGTTAAAGCCCAGGTGGATCTTTTTCATGACTCACCACCCCCCAGGTCTGTGCTGTCACGTGAGGTGACTTACACTTAATGTGAAATTCAGCAGAATTAGAAATCCTGTTCTCTAGTGGCACTACCGCATTTGATTTGGATTTGGATTTGGATTTGGAGTCTCACTCCGTCGCCCAGACTGGAGTGCAGTGGCACGCTCCCGGCCACCGCAGCCTTGACTTGCTGGGCTCCGGCGATCCTTCTGCCTCAGCCTTCCAAGTAGCTGGAACTACAGGCACGCGCTACCACGCCCGGCTAATTTTTTTGATTTATTGTAGAGATGAGGTCTCACTAGGTTGCCTGGGCGGGTCTCCAACCTGTGGGCTCAGGCAATCCACTCGCCTTGGCCTCCCAAAGTGCTAGGATTACAGGCTGAGCCACCGAGCCCAGCCAACTGCTGCATTTTAAATGCTCAGCCATGTGGGCCGGTAGCTGAAGTACAGAGCATGTGTTTTTCTCACAGCCAGGTGATGGAAATGGTGATAACAGGCTTGGGCCCTGAGTGGTACCATGTGATGGAGGTGGTTTTCCCTCCATTATGGAGTAGCTTTGTTCTGAGTTCGGCTACGTCATGCCGAGCAGGGAGGCCCCACAGGACTTGACCAAGGTTTGCCTGGTTTGGGTATATGTCTGGGTGCCATGCTCCCAGGTTTCTGAGGTTAGTTACTTCCCCAAAGTACCTGCTGGCTAGTGCTGCTCCAGACCCCAGATTTTGCATCTGGAGCTTGGCAGCAGTGTTGTGGCTCATGTTTCACTACCAAGCGTGCCCGGCAGGGGTGACAGTGAAGTCAGCACACACACCACCTCAAGAACGCCCCTTCTGCCTTCCTTTCCATCTCCCCAGGGTCCGGGTCATTGGAAGCTCCACCTTGGCACTCTGCCACTTGGCCTCAGGAGCTGCAGACGCCTATTACCAGTTTGGCCTGCATTGTTGGGACCTGGCAGCCGCCACGGTCATCATCAGAGAAGCAGGTGGCATCGTGATCGACACTTCGGGTGAGCTCTCCTGCCCTTCCTTGCCTTCCTGTCCTCAGGGGCGGCAGCAGAGACTAGACCGAGTGACACCTGGGAGGGGCACTCCCCTTCCAGAGTTTCTGCTGACAAGAGCCTGTGCAGGTGCCGTGATGGCAGTGGCCCACAGCAGCCTGGCCATCCCTGCCATCCCTTCCATCCATGGGGTCAGGACATCTCGACTAGATAACAGCGGCAGCACTTCCCAGTCATACAGCATTGACAGCGTCCTAAAGGTCCACAAAGGTCCAATGAGTCAGAGCAGGCGCCATGTTCCCCAGGCGTCTGAAGTTAGATACTCGAAACCCCAGGGCTTGGTGTTGGGTAAGCACCATATAGGATGAGCGTCCTGCAGTGTGTTAGGAGCATGATTCTGGAAGACGGTTGTTCCCTCTGCTGCAAGCCCACGTGAGTCCCAGTGACTGGCTTCCTGGGAGCAAGGGAGCTGGCACATGTGTCCCTTCTTGCCATGTCCACTTGACTTCAGCAGACTGGGCAAAACCCTGTCACATCCCATTCTCACCTCGCTTTCACCCAGAGCTTGTTAGCAGAACACTGTGGCTCTCTTAACTACTGGGAGTGCACAGTAGACCTTCTGTAATCTGACTTCTACTTTTTTCCTGTTTCTCCACTGAAGGGCTACAATTGAGCTACCAGAAAGGTATAAGAATAAAGATGCGTCAGCCATGGGTGGCAAGACAAGGCAGGGCAGTTTCACATTTTAAAGCCTCCCCACTCTGGATTTTGCTGTGTGAGCACCTTGAGGCTTACCTACGTGCCAGGAGGTCTCCAGCCACACAATCCTGTTTCCTAACCCTCAGGAAGACAAAACACTATATCGCCTACCCCTTGCTGCTCTGAGTGGTCCCCAGGGCAGCTGCTAAGCCATTCACAAGGCGCAGGTGACCGCTGGCACAGTCAAGACTGAGAAAGGCTGTCGGCATTTCATGGCGTTTCTAGTCCACCAGCGCAGTCTCTCGGCCAGCAGCGGCTTGAGAGATTCAGTTCTGCCTGGCCTTGCCTGCATTCACGCTGGGGTTGGTGGGCAGAGGCTCCGTGCCTCCCTTGGCCAGATCCTCTCCTAGACCTCTCGTTTGGTGTAGGCCCTGGGACTTGGGCATGATCCCATGTGCTCTTTTGGTGGTGTGTATGTATGTGTGTATGGTCAGTCGTTATACAAGATTGTCCAGCCCACTCGAGTGACAATGGCCTCTGGGTCTCTCCCTTTCTGTCCCCAGGCGGACCCCTCGACCTCATGTCCTGCAGAGTGGTTGCTGCCGGCACACGGGAGATGGCGATGCTCATAGCTCAGGCCTTACAGACTATTAACTATGGGCGGGATGATGAGAAGTGAGATTGGCGGACGGCACAGCAGTTCTGAAGGCCTCCCTGGGGCGCTGTGAGGCTCCTGGGGAGGGGGCCTGGTGGCCTGCACCCCGTGCCAGTGACCCCACTGCTCCCAGCTACCCCGAAGGAAGATGTCGTGCCATACTTGGCTAGCCTCTTAAATCCTCGTCTCTTTCCCTGGAATTTGGTGTGTAGCTGGCTTCTCTCTTTAATCTCACGTAGCCTTTTCAGGTTGGTACACGTTCTCCTGTCAAACCAAAACCCAAATCTCCTCTGAAGCACGTATGGATAATCCAGTCTTGATTCTCTTCCCAGAATATAAATCTCAGGTAATAAGGCTTTAGAACTGCTGAAAAAGCAGACTCATTCTCAGGCCCTACCCCTATGGTACTTCAGAATGCAATAAATCAAAATAACGGCACCCTGCGTATCTGTTCCCTCTGTAAGTGTGTCACCTGCAACCTACAGGATCCATCGCTGTCGGTCTAGGCTCTCGAGGAAGGCTTGCATCTGAAAACCCAAAGTCAACAGTGTGTACCCTCTGTCGGCTGCCTCTGATAAGCACTCTGAAAGCAAATTCAGTCTTTTTTTTTTCCGAGTCGGAGTCTCACTCTGTTACCTAGACTGGAGTGTAGAGTGTAGTGGCATGCTTCCGGCCACCACGGCCTCGACCTAATAGGTTTAGGCGATCCTTCTGCCTCGGCCTTCCAAGTAGCTGGAACCACAGGCATGCACCACCAAGCCTGGCTAATTTTTAAATTTATTGTAGAGACGAGATCTCACCATGTTGCCCAGGCTGGTCTCGAACCCGTAGGCTCAGGCAATCCTCTTGCTTCTGCCTCCCAAAGTGCTGGGATCCAGGCATGAACCACTGTGTCTAGTGCAGCTTCAGTAATTGAGTGTTCAAAATCCAAGACATGGGCAACCCTTCGGGACCTCTCCCACTGCCAGGAGCTTTCCTGTCCTAATAAATTCTTGCTTTCTTACAAAAAAAAAAAATCCAAGACATATAACAGACTGAAGGAAATTGATCTCTGAAATGTTGTTGTTTCTGTGATCAGTTGTTTTTGTTTGTTTTTAGAGTCAGAGTCTCACTCAGTTGCCCAGGCTGGAGTGCAGCGGTGCTATCATAACTCACTGGAGCTTTGAACACCTGAGCTCAAGTGGGCCTTCTGCCACAGCCTCCCAAGTAGCAAGGCCTACAAGTGCATGCCACCATGCCCAGCTAATTTATTTATTTATTTATTTTTGTAGAGATGGGGTCTTGCTATGATTCCCAGGCTGGTCTTGAACTTCTGCCTTGAGCAGTTCTCCTGCCTTGTCCTCCCAAAGCATTGAGATTACAGGTGTGGCCTCCATTTCCAGCCAATATGTGATCAGTTTAGTAAGGAGAAATCATAACATATTTTCTGGGCCTTGTTTATCTTTAAGAGGTAGAATTATACATAAGAATAATTCTAGGCTGGGCATGGTGACTCATGCCTGTAATCCGAACACTTTGGGAGGCTGAGGTGAGAGGATTACTTGAGCCCAAGAGTCCAAGACCAGCCTAAGCAACACAGTGAGACCGCGTGCCTAAATAATTCTAATGAGGTTATTAACTGGTGGGCCAGGTATTTTTCCTGAAGTTTAAGAATTGAGAAAGCCAGGCTCGGTGACTCAGCCTGTAATCTGCGCCTTTGGGAGACTGAGGTGAGTGGATTGCCTGAGCCCGCGGGTTTGAGACCCACCTGGGTAGGAGAAACCTCATCTCTACAATAAATAAAAAAAAAAAAAAATAAGCCGGGCGTGGTAGTGCGCGCCTGTAGTTCCAGCTACTTGGAAGGCTGAGGTGGAAGGATCGCCGGAGCCCAGCAGGTCAAGGCTGCAGTGGCTGGGAGCGGCCACTGCACTCCAGTCTGGGCGACAGAGTGAGACTCCAACTCAAAAAAAAAAAAGAAAATGTCTTTATATTTTAGAGATGTTTACTGAAGTATTTAGATATAAAATACAAGATAACTATAGTTTGTGATTAGTGAAAGAAATAGGGTGATGTGACAGAGACTAGGTGAAAGGCATGGGGAACAGCCAGAAGGATATCTCCCGAGATGGCGCCAACACTAGGGAACCTAACAAAGACAACAAAGACCGTAAATTCCTGCCTCTCCCGTGCGCGCGCAACTTAAACTCATGTACAAACATTATCTCCCTATAGGAATACTACCTCATAGCTCCCTCCAATAAAGACCCTAAGATGGCTCTGGCTGGCACGGCCAGGCTCAGAGAGCACAGGCCGCCCTCTCCCAAAACCGATAAATACAGACCTCTCTCTCGCCCTCTCTCTCTCACTCCCTTTTCCCACCAGGCGGTTACAGACCTCCTTCCCTCTCCCTGTAACCGCTGCTCTAATAAATCTCTTGGCCTCAAGGGTACTGAGTCTCACTGGCGCCCTCGTCCTTCACTAGGGAAAA